GTCTGTAACTCTACCTCTCAAATAAGTAAATAAAAGTCTTTAAAAAAATAAAGTCGTGCATATTAGTCAAATAAATACAGAAAAAACAGAGTATATGACCTTGCATATAATATTTTTGGGGTTTTTTTCTATTATTATTATTATTATTATTATTACTTTCATAAATTTTTACCTTATACCAACTGTTTAAAGTGGCCGAGCTACTTTGAAAGTTCCTTGCTTAAAAATTTGTTTTCTCTAGCTATTAACCCTTTTTCTAACAATGAGAATGAATTATTTTCTGAGCCTGTTCAATGAGAAGGAAAGCCCAGTTGACTGACAAGTAAGTAGGAGATGGAGGTGAATAATAAGCTAAAAGTCTTCCAGGTATTATACTTGAAGACATTTTTCTACCCTACTTTCATTTTATTTGCAAGACAGAGAGACAGAGCAAGGGAGTGTAAGCAGATACAGAGAGATTTCCCATCTGCTAGTTCACTCTCCAAATGTCATCAATGTCCATAGCTGCAACAAAAGCTGCAGGCCAGGAATTCAATCCAGGCCTCCCATATGGGTGGATGGGACACAATTGGTTGAGCCACCACCTGCTGCCTCCCAGGGTGCATGTTAGCAAGAAGCTGGAATCAGAAACATATCTAGGAGTTGAAGGCCGGCGCCGTGGCTCAGTAGGCTAATCCTCCGCCTAGCGGCGCCGGCACACCAGGTTCTAGTCCCGGTTGGGGCGCCGGATTCTGTCCCGGTTGCCCCTCTTCCAGGCCAGCTCTCTGCTGTGGCCAGGGAGTGCAGTGGAGGATGGCCCAGGTGCTTGGGCCCTGCACCCCATGGGAGACCAGGAAAAGCACCTGGATCCTGGCTCCTGCCATCGGATCAGCGCGGTGCGCTGGCCGCAGCGCGCCGGACGCGGCGGCCATTGGAGGGTGAACCAACGGCAAAAGGAAGACCTTTCTCTCTGTCTCTCTCTCTCACTGTCCACTCTGCCTGTCAAGAAAAAACAACAAACAAAAAAAAAAACAAAAACATTCTAGGAGTTGAGCCCAGGCACTCATACATGGGATGCCAAAATCCCAAGCAGGAGTTTAAACTGTGCCACATCTTGCACATCTCTTTACTGCTCTTTCGGAGATGCAATGTCTTAAATGAGTTTGCTAGGAACCTGATCTTGTGATCCCCTTTTCCCATTGAATCAAAAAAAGATTGTGTTAAAAAAAAAAAAGAAATGCTGTTGGATTCAGAATGCCATTGTCCTTTATTTTGATGTTTATTAGTTACAGCAAGAGAGGGATAGACAGAGAGAGAGAGGAGAGAGATCTTCCATCTGCTGTTTCACTCCACAAGTGGCCACAACAGCCAGAGCCGGGCCAAGCCAAAGCCAGGAGCCAGGAGCTTCTTCTGCCTTTTCCACATGGGTGACAGAGGCCCAAGCACTTTGGCCATCCTCTGCTAATTCTCAGGCACATTAGCAGGGAGCTGGATGAGAAGCGGAGCAGCCGGGTCTCCAACCAGCACCCATATGGAATGCAGGCACTGCAGATGGTGGCTTAATCAGTTGAGTCACAGTGCCAGCCCCCTTTTATTTATTTTTTATCTACTTGGAATGCTGAGTAAGAGTGAGAGTGAAAGCGACAGTATGAGTAAGAGTGATAGAGAGAGAGCTTCCAACTTCTGGTCCACTCCTCAAATTCCTGTTATAATCAGGCCTGGGCCAGGCTGAAAACCAGGAGCCCAGAACGCCATCCGGGGCTCCCACATGGGTAGCAGGGGCCCAAGTATTTTAATCATCATCTGCTGCCTCCCAGGTTGCATTAGCATGAAGGGAAGTAGAATATGGAAAGTGGAGTAGCCAGCACTTTATTTTCTGAAAGTCTTTTAAAGACATCTGCCAGTTGATGCAAAATTAGTGATTAATTGGCTCCTGTTTCCTATAACAGTGCCCAGGTTTATATGGCATATAAACCTAATCCATAAGCATAGTTAAAATCTTTTGGTTCCACTTGTACTGTTTCTAGGGAAACTAGCATAGTGTTGAGCTGCTGGCACTTGGGGTGAATTCACCCAGTCCTTTGATATTGTTGGCAAAAACAAAAATTGATTTGGGTTTGGAGTGTGAGAGTGCAAGCATCTGGCTATTCTTATTCATGTATGTAAACTCCCAGTTGGAAGTTAGTCATATTTCAATTACTCTGTATTCAAATAGATAAAAGTGAAATGTATATTCCCACCCCCCCAATAGTTCTGAATGCATGTTTTCAGTTACGTATTCATTCCTCCTACCCTGCTCCAGTGGCACAGGTATCAACAACTCAATTAATGCTTTGTAAAGGACATTTTGGGTTAAGTTCTATGGCTATAAACTGGCTATTTGGAGAACACCCTGGAAAAGCTTTCATGTTTTTCCTTCCACCTTCCAAAAAACTACATTTGCAACAAGGAGTGATATGAAAGGAAATGGAGGTGGTATTGGACAACCTGTCGTGCTGTCTTGCTCATAGGGGATCCTTTCTATTTCTGTGTGTTCTCTTTAGACTAAAATAACACCTTGAAGTGGATTTGTCTGCAAATGGATAACATGGCACATATTTTCATCTTTCAAGTAAAAGAAAATCATTTTGTTGCTTTGATTGGGCTATAGAGATGAACACGTAGAAGCGTTTTTGTAAACAACACTAATATCAAGTTTAGATTCAGCACATGTGAACCCTGTCCTCTTGGACTTTACAGTCAGGATACACAGGATTAATCAAATTATCACACAAATACATTACACGGCAACAGTATAGAAAATTAATCATTGATCAATGCAGTGAAAAAAGTCCATGATGTTATAAGGCATACATATAATAATTGATATGACCTAAACTAGGGGTTAAGAAAGGGTTCCCTGCAGCCATGATTACTGGGATAGGGTTTGAAGGAGCAGTAAGAATTGGTGAAGGGAAGATTAGAGAGGAGAGTATTCTGCGCAGAGGGAAGAATACTTGGAAATGTCCATGGGGAGAGGGATGGTGTCTCATTCTAGGAACTGAGATAGGGTCAGTGGAGTTGAAGTTTACAACAAAAGAAGAATGGTGCTAGAAGGGTATGTGCCTCCGTGACATGGTAAAAGTCCTGCTAAGGAGTCATCTGTGAAGTTCATCAAAAGGTATTCGAGTCTCACAGAGAGAAATGAAGGCAAATGAATCAGAAGACTGAGGGATATTAATCTCCATAGGAAAATGATAGTGAGTTGGTCACAAGGACAGATAGTGAGCATGACTAGGAAGAGAACTCTACAATCATTCTGAAGCTTTAAATTACTACAACAGAGTGCACTGCCTTAAAGGCTTTTTCTTACTCTTCTTTCCCTTCACAGATCACTCTCCTCACTTCCTCTCACTTCACACCTCCTGCATGTGATCACTTGGCCCTGGTTACCCGGAAAGCTATCCACTTCCCTTCGTGATTTATTTAAACTCTGATAATCCATCAAGGTCCAGCTCAGGTTCTGCCTCTTTCGGGAAGCCCTCCTGGCCCTACCCATGGAACTGGATCCCCATCCTCTGATTCGTTACAGACCACAGAGCTCACTTTCTATATAGCTGCTTCAGTGCTTTTTCAGAATTTGCCTTTTGGTATGTCACTGTTTTACGTGTGTGTCCCTGTGGCCTCAGCTGGACTGTGAAGTTTTGTCAGACAGTGACTCTCTTTCTCTTGTGGGTCAACGAATGTGCCAAGGAGTGTTCTAGACCCAGAGTAAGTAAAAGACCATTTTGAAAGACCATTCACGAAGGTGCAGCCTATGTCAGAGAGGAAAAGAAATTGGCATCCCGGAGATAAGCAGAGAGGGGAACAGAAAGAGCAGAAACTGGGGAGTGGGGGTGGGGAAGCAAGAGAAAAAGTGTGTTTTTAGAGTCAGTGACAAGTAATAAGGCTAGTGTCAGCTTCACACTGACTTGTTTACTGGCCTTGACTGTTAGTGAGAACAGCCACAATAGAGCTGTAGAGAGGAAGAATAAACAAACATGGAACATGTTCTTATTTGGGAGGCAGCTTAATTACGCAGACTGAAGTTTTAAAGCAAGCAGAGGTTCCCCCAATTCTCCAGAGGCCTGGCTCTGCCCAGAGAAAGAAAGCACCTTATTCCTGGCCAGAGAGTTTCATTCCAGAGAAGGGGGAGGGGTTGCTGGTGGTGGTGTTAGCAGTGGGTGGAGGTGGGGGCCCGAAGGGTGGGGGTGGGTTGGTGGACGGAGGGGTTGGGCTAGCAATGAAGTTTCAGATGGAAGAGTGAGTTTCTGCATCAAATTCAGATGAGGGAGCTGGGAAAGGAGGAAGAAAAGAGGGAAGACGGAACATGGCAGTGTGGCTGACCCAGGAAGTCAACCTATAGGAAAGGAACTTTCCCTGGGGGAGGGGCGGAATCCAGTTGAAGATAAATCCCCGTCATAAATAGATTTTTTTCTGTATTATTTATTCTGGGTTTTAGCAAACCTTGGGAAATTTCGTAGTAATTAGACTTCCTGCCAGGCAGTTATTTAAGGGAAGTATAGACCCCTGCTTTTACTTTACCCCCAGTCAATGGAAAGTGGGTGTTAGAGCTGTGGGATGCCAGCACATCTTCGTCTGAGGGAGCCTCACAGGCTTAAGTGAGTATGGTATTCGGTGTTCTTTTATTTTTGTGTTGGTGGAAATTTTAGTTTTGCACAGTGTAACAGGAACGTAATTTTGGCACCCTTCACTTTTGCCTTTTCCCTAGCTGCTACTTATTACTATCAATATTGTTTTCTTTGTAATTAATTTAAACAAGTAGGAGCAAACATGGGCTGTTCGTAATTGACACCCTCCTCCCAGTTTGGAGTTTTGTCTCCTCCTTCTTACTAGAATTGTAAGGAGTAGCAGTACTGCAGCAAGACAGGCGCAGAGGCTTTCTCCGTGGATTAATTGGTCAGGAAAGACACTTTTTTATATTGTCAAGTGGCACTTAAGCCACTAATTCTTGACTGTGAAACTGCTTTTCCTGGGCAATGCTCTTTAAGGAAAAACTTCTTCAGTCCAGTGATTGGTGACTAAGGGAACCGTGGAGCACAGGGGATTGGGCGGGGTCTCGGCTCCTAATAATGCCTCCTTATCCAATGAAAAGCATTTCCTATTGAGACCCCCAAGAGTTCCCCCGGCCTTCGGCTCCAGCCCGGACTTTGGGCCTTTTCTTGTGTCCTGTTTGTTAAAGGCATGCCGGCTACAGCATTCAAGAGGGCAAGTCTTTAACAAAGGGAAAGAGATAAGTGTAAATAAGCTCACATTTTCAGAATGAGCGGTTTGCAGTAAGAAGCTGCGGCAGCCCAGAGTCTGCTACTTTGGGCTGGGCTAACCTTTCCCTGTTTAAAAAAAAATGGATAAAAATACGCACTTTCAAAGTGCGAGTTGCCCGTTTACATGTTTACTAGCTAATTGTCTACAGGCATGAGCACACTCTCTCATCTAGCACACTCTTTCTTGGGGTAAGTCTCTTTGAGAAAGATTTGATTTGGGCGTTTGGGGGTGGGGGGATGGCGTAACAAGCTTCAGTGGAAACACTGATGCCTTGAGTGTTTGGGGAAAGAAGTTAGACTTCAACTCTGAAGTGCTGAACAAAGATCGTCGTGTTGAATGGTAAAAATCAAGAATTTCTGTTGTTTTGGCAATAATATTGTTTCCGTGGAAGAGATGCAGGATTTTCAGGCTGTGTTTTTTTTTTTTTTTTTTTTTTCATGTAAACACAGTCGTCCTAAAGAGCTGATTTAAAATCACAGGGTAGAACAATTTAGAAACTCTTTTGGCCAGCTTTATATTTCTTTGGTTTACAATTGATTTTGAGGTAACATGGCTTCTATTATGATGAGGTTTCTTCTAGTAAAACTATACATGACATGTCTTTGATGCTGAATTGATTTATGGAGAATGTGACATTTGCTGTGTTGAATAATTCATGAACTTGCCCATAAAGGAAGAATCATGTTTGAATGAAAAACTAATTCTGGCATAAACTGAATTTTCTATTATATGTGAAATTAAATGTTCTTTGCCATACAAATGTAACAGTGTGACATCTTTAAAAATTCTCTTCTTGTATATCCTGAATATTTTAATATTTTTAGGAAAAAGATACTGTTGAATTGATAAGGACAATATTTTAGATACTTTTAAGAATTTTTTAGAGTAATTCATCATTATTTCATGTGGGAAAAGACCAGATGAATGCACTTATTAGAACATTTTAGAGCTTTGTGAGGTTATTCATTTTGCTACATTACCAAATCATGTCATCTTTCTTTTTCCTTGACTAACATGAAAACATAAGTAATAATTTACAATCCAAATTATCTAGTGGCTTTGCAACAAGTTTATTTTTTAGAACAAAATTCCAAACAATATAACCTTTCAACATAGATTATAAATCCTTTTGCCTTATCACAGATGCATTCTTGTTAAGAAGGATGAGTTCTACCTTATCGCAAATGAAAAGTTACAGTCTTGTTTAGAAGGATGAGTTCAGCTGATAAAATTGATGGTGTCTACATTCTAAAGCATTTCCTGCCAATCAGAGATGCGAATGAAAGCCCTATTGGAACAATCAGGCCAGCCTTTCAGAATGTGTATTCTTTGTAAGTTAGAAAGAACTGAGAAGATAACTCACAGCAACACCTCAGGTCAAGCTTAGCTAAAGTTTGATCTCTTCAATTCCCTTTGAGGGAAAAAGTGAGTTTTGGTGTAGTTGCTGTGGCCTGGTCAGGGCCTGATTGTGTAGTTACTTTTTGTTTGTATGTATAGTCATCATATATAGTCTATTTTGGCCTCCTTAAAAAGGAGGAAAATAACCTATAAAATATTTAATGGAGTGAATATTGGTACTGAAAATTGGGATCTTGATAGAAGGCCACGCACCACTGGGAATCCAGCCTCAATTTTAGTAGAGAAATAATTGGTTATGAGAACAATATATAGAATAAGCAGCTTACTGATTACATATGGATATGTTATAAAGTATGCTGATAAGTTCATTTCGAGGACAGAAGGAAAGTATATGAGGAAAATGAAAGCATTGATATGACTGTAGGGTATAAATGGCATCTTGCACTGTGGTTGTTACCTTCTGATATTAGTTAATCATATTCATTTTTGATATTAAGATAAATCTAGAAATCCCTTTAATTGAATCTAATAAAAATTAATGGCCCTCACTGTAGACTTTAAGAGATTAAAAAAAATTTTTTTTGCAGTGACAAATGGGAGCAGGTGACAGTAACTGATAGGAGGGAACAGCCAGTGTGGCCACCGCCATGGCACCAGTTGAAGGCTCCTGTCATTTAAAGCCAAAAGTGAAAGGAGAATAGAAACTGAGCCCCAGAAAAGACTGTGATTTGCTCTGTCAAAGTTGGATAGTGGTGGGGGGCTAGATCTGATTATCCTGATTAACATTAGATATGAAAATTTCTAGGTATTTGAACTTCCTAATTTGCTTGGATTACAAATAAAAAAGTTTTCTATATTATCTGTATCAACTGTGAAAGCCATAAAAGGAAAAAAATGTTAATGTTTCTGTCTCCCTTTAAGATAAACCAATAAAATGATTTTCATTTCATTCCAGGAATACTGCTCTCTGGAGGAGTGTGAAAATTAATTCTACTTACCTTTAAGGTGATTTCAATTTATTTCAAATTGTCTAATGTTTTTATTTGTTTATTTTTGTTGTTTTAGATTCGAGAAAAATCATTTCAGGAAAGTTGGAGTATTATGTAGCAGTAAGCATTGTTTTGGCCACCTTTATTCAGAAGAGGTTGAGGTGTGACCATAGTGTTGTTTGTCACTAGCGCATGATTTTCCTTATAGGAAGAGGTATTGCAATAAGTAGGGTCCAAATGTAGGTGCTATTTGCATGAACACCACTGCAGAATATTTCTGGTTGTATAGAAGTGTTTTGTGCAGAGTTGTGAAGATATTACAGACAGGCAATATTGGCTAGGCCTAAGACTTCCTGGTAAAGGCTCAATGATTATCAGTCAGTGTGCTAATGCCTAGTAATTGAAGCCATCCTTATATTACTATAGTTTTGGGGGAAGAAAATCAGACATGGGTGTAGGTTAGAGCACCAACTGGTTGTTCCAGCCTTCTTTCCTCTTCCCCAATCAAGGTCTCTGCCTAATAGCAACTGCTGTTGCCAGGGAAAAGGAAAAGAAAAACAAAGAACAAATGTCACTGCTGGCCCCAGAAAAAGTCTCCTTTGTTCAGTTATTTTTAATGTAATGCATTACCTTATGGAAGTGGGGGAAGTATTTTATGCCTTTTGTCACCAGTTCCCTTTAAATGATAAGTTACACAGGCTCATGGATTTTTTTTTAATTTATTTAATGAGCATAAATTTCCAAAGTACAGCTTATGGACCACAATAGCCTCCCCCCCCCCAGTGTCTTCTCTCCCATCCACAACGCTCCCCTCTCCCACTCCCTCTCCCCTTCCCCTTCACATCACAATTAATTTTCAATTATCTTTATATACAGAAGATCAATTTAGCGTATGTTAAGTAAAGATTACCACATTTTGCTCCCACACAGAAACATAAAGTGTAAAATACTATAGGCTCATGGATTATATGCTTCAGTGAATACCATTAATAAAATAAGGCAAAGTTGTGACAGAATCACTGGTCTCAATCTCTACCTGTTTTTTCCCCTGGTTTTATCAACTTGTAGAAATGGGGGAGGGGGCGGCGTGTAATCTACTCCTATTTCTCTTTCTCATCTTTTGACCAGGGAATTAGTCAATGAGAGAAGATAAAATTCAGAAACTGAGAAATGGAGCCGGTGCCATAGCTCACTTGGTTAATCCTCTGCCTGCGGCTCCGGCATCCCATATGAATGCTGGGTTCCAGTCCTGGTTGCTCCTCTTCCAGGCCAGCTCTTTGCTGTGGCCCGGGAGTGCAGTGGAGGATGGCCCAAGTGCTTGGGCCCTGCACCTGCATGGGAGACCAGGAGAAACACATGGCTCCTGGCTTCGGATCGGCACAGCACTGGCCATAGCAGCCATTTGGAGAGTGAACCAATGGAAGGAAGACCTTTCTCTCTGTCTCTCTCTCTCACTGTCTACAACTCTACCTGTCAAATAGAAAAAAAAAAATTAGAAACTGAGAAATAAAAGGAGATGAGATATCAAAATGTTCTACTCTGTAAACTTCATCAGTATGGAAAAGGGTTTTTTTTGTATCTCAGAAAACAGTAGTAATCTTCATTTGCTAATTAATGTGCCACCACATTCCATCATCCCATCATTCCCTAGACAGGGTTGTACTGGTGTCCATCATCACATGAAAATTTTATAGTCTATGTGCTTATTTTCAAAAATCGTATTTTTTGAATTATGTATGTAAGTGGTTACTCAAAAAACAGTTGCTGATTAAAAATGTTTTGAGAAGAGAAAATAAGTTGTTTTACGCAATTCCTTAGTACTGAAATTCAAAGCATTTAAATACCATTTAAAATATATTGGCTCTCCTTTACTCTGATTATATCATATAACAATTTTCTCTGCCTTATGATCTTGGTATACATTTTATTGAAAAGCTTTCTTTATGGCCTACTATTGTGAATAATTTTATTTCACAGCACCCACTGGAGGAAGTCTCTAATCACAGTGCCTCTAGAAAGTTCAATGGTTATCCAAGTCTTGAATCAAATTGATGCCAGAATTCGGTTTGAACTAATGTGGTGAGTACCACTGTCCTGGTAATAACTTTCTCTATGAATCCTTCATTTTATTCTTCATTTATTCTAACCATAACCCTAACCCTAACACTAACTGCGAAATAAACTGCGGTAATCCTTCATTTTATTTTTGGTAACCAACATATGTACTTCCAAATTGTTACAAATCGTATGATCCAAACATCCAGAATGGATGGAGGAGTTGTAAGTGTGCATTGTAATCCAGATAATTTTGGTGTATAAGAATTTTGATTCTTTGAATCAATTCTATGCTATTGGCATTTACCTTTAGAAATGAAATGCACGTTTTTTAATTCATATAATCAGGATCAGTGTCCAAGTATATAATTGATGTGGTTTCCAAATTGATAAATGATATGACTATTTAAGTGCATGGGATAAAGGTGAATTCCAACTTGGCATGCATAGACTTTGCAAAATTTGGAAATGACCTCTTTAAGGAACACCCAAAAATTTTCTCAAAAGGACGGGCTTTTGCTGAGATGAGATATTGAATCTCAAGGCTCTAGAAAATTTCATAATATTAGGTTGAGCAATTTCTCTCCAGTTTTCTTACTCTATAACTAAGTGCTAGAGAAAATCCTGCTTTAATAGGACTGATGCAATCATTGGCCTCATCTTGTTGAACCCAGACCACACTATTTCTCAAATACTGGACTGTGTCATCAGGTGAAGGGTTAGTGGGTGACTGGAGTATTTTTTGTAGAAAACAGAGTCAAGTTAATCCCTGAGGATAGGATCTGGCCACATTGGGACCTGAGTCATTTTCCTATTCTCACTAATACAATCTTAATCATATCAGTGAAAATCAGATTCAATGGAGATATCATTTAAAAATATTTCTTATATCGAAAATAGAAGAGGCTGGTACAGATCAATTTCTCAGCTCCATTCTGGAGTGAAGTTGTTATCTCATTTGAGGAGCATCGGTCTGGAAATATTCCCTATTACTCCAACAAGAATGGTTTTGAGCTATTTTTTCACCTTTGTGTGCTTTTAAATTCACCTTACTGCTAGGTGTCTATCTGTAAGTAGGTGATAGGTTTCAGCCTCTTCTGAAAACTGTTGTGTCAACTTTCATAAGCTTTGACCAGGGTAGAAAAAGGAGATACTCTGGGGATCAGAAGGACTCTGATCTGACCCAAGAGACTTTCATAGACTCTGCCTCAAGGACCTTGGCTCCATAAGTTCTGGAGTGTCTTCTGCAGGGAGCAAAAGCAAGGCAGCCTTTCTAGGGTATTAGGCATGTGCTAGAAGTTGTAGATTTGTTTTCAATGTCTCATCTAAAACTTTAGCACTTCATGAATTGAAGTGATTTAAATATTCATTTTTAGAGGTCCAAAAGGTGGACTCCACTTTCCTTTAGGAGCCCCAAAGGCTCCAAACATGGTATATTTCATTATCATTGGAAATAAGTAAAAGTAAAAAGGAATTAAGTTGTGGACATTACCATGAACTGTTTGAATTGGCTCCATATATATAGGTCAAAATGAAAAATTCATTGAAGGTTGGATTTCTTTTAGTCAACCTCCAGGTTACCTTCTTCCTTCACATTGTCAATGAAAATACATCTACCCAACACTGACTGCAGACCCTCAAGTAATTAATTGTTGAATGACTGGTTGTAGAAGTCTTTGCATGACAGTAGTCTAAGGCTGCTTGTGGTAGTAGATATAATTAACTGCATAAACCTATCTTTTTCCTTCTTCATTTCATCTGAAGCTCACGTGTTGGGTCTTTTGCTCCATGTACAATATGGTTTCCATTTGAGAAGATCTAGTGGTTAGACATTGCTCATTTTAGTCAAAATGAAGAAAACCAGTCTGTTTCTGTAATATCATTGATTCTCCTTCTGGGTAGGCCTAAGGACCAAGTGCTTCTCTGACCTTTTAAAATCATGGCTTCACGGGAGAAAGTCATTTGGGGAAACCCTCCTGGATTATCCTGTTCTGAGGAAATCATTTAGTTAAGATTGGATCTCAAGAGGGGGCTTTTCTGAGGTACAAAATATACATGGTGTTAGAGGAAAGACAAGTTGCTAATATGAAGTTCAGGGTGCCAAAAAAGAGATAAATTTCAAGTTGTGTCAGAGGAGAGAGAAGGAAACAAGCTTCTATAATGTTTCTCTGTGGTCAGGTAGGGCTGCATACTGGCAAGCTCATAAAGCTACTCACAAGCCCTGTTGAATCTTCCTAGCGTCAGCTCTGAGGCTCAGAGGTAATGTTTACACAGGGAAGAGAAACAGTATAGCCAAGTTACAGAGTGAACCAGTGTCTGAGTCAGAAATAGAACTCCTTACTTCCAATGCTGTGTTAAGTCCCAGCACCACACCCTCACTGCTAGACAGCAAAGGTGGTGTGTGTTCGAGCAAGGGAGAGCTATGAATAGGGCCATAGTGGCAGTTTTCCCATGCCCTCTTGAGACTGTGCTGCTTTCTTGTCTGTGGTACTTTCTCTCCCACAGGATTTGATTACTCAAAGCAGCACAGCACAGTACCAGGCATTTGCAGACTGCCCGCTATGGGTATAGTGCATATGTCCTTGGGAACAGAATAATGAAGTAAAACAATGTGTATATATACACACACACACATACACACACTCATTAACTTGACTTAATCACCGCTCATTGTATACATATATCAAACTTTGCACTGAACTCTATAAATGTAAGACAATTATGATTTGTCAATAAAAAACAATGCAACTTTTAAAATAAAATGATTGAAATAATAAGAAAATGCCTGAATGGAAAACAGGAAGCAAAACTTACCTATTTGAAACATAGCATCTTAGGAAATACAAAATAATTCGTAGCCAGTGAGCTAGAAGCATGTTATATATGGGGGTCACTAGTGAACAGACTACAAAGACTCTGGGCAGAGGTTAAAAAAAAAGGCTTCTATTATTAAATCATTTTCCAAATAAACTTACTGACAATACTTATTGTAGAAGGCAGTTACAAGCTGATCATAGTGAACAAATCCTGGCTTTAGTATTAGGGGTTTTCAGTGTCATAATTTCTTCAGGTTGTGTGACTATTTCAGAGGGATAGTTCTCTTGATTTCTGAATGATAGTCTTAGGGTTAAAGAAGGATTCTAGATTAATAGATAGTGAGTGGGATGCCAACACTAATATATAAAATGGTTTAAGCAGTTAAAAAGTTTGGTGCTTTTTCTTCTGCCATTCCATTTGTGCAACAAATAAAACTTGAGTCTGGACTCCCAAAGTGAGATATGAATACCACTGGATGAGGTTTTCTACACTCTCACTTCTGCTGATAGGCTTCAGTGACTTTAAACAGTGATAACATACCGCTCTTCTGACTAACAAACCCGGATGGATGGTGTAGAGAAGCCAGCTGAGAGGATGGAGTTGGAGGATATGCCTTCCCTGACTCTGAATGCTGATTAAATAGCAGCACTGAACTCTTCCCAGCAAGGTCCCCATTGTCTTTACCTCCTCTTCTCCATTTTTCTAATTTCTCCAGCTTTTATTTCTCTGCTACTTTATTTTTCATCTCTTCTCCTACTCCTATCATCTATTTTTATTTTTTCCACATCTGGCTTTTTTTGTTTTCTTCCTGGACCTTGGTTAAGGTTCGTACTGCAAACTGCTTTTGCATATCAAGATTGCTTCTGGAAAATGGTGAGCTGGATGTTTGTAATGGAATGATCAAGAAAGAATATAGATCAGTGTTAGGCTTAGCGGAAGTAGCACTTTGTTGAATGGGAATTCAAAGATAACAATTTTCCAGTTGTAACCTGAAAACTATGAAAATTGACACTCCTTTGCTTTGAGCTCCATATTCTCCAAGGTCGCCTCTCCCTGTTGGCACTGCAATGAGTGGAATTTTTTCTTCAAACCAAACAGTTATTTCTCAAGTCAAACACTTATCGAAGTGATGTCAGGTGTCTGTGTTTCTGGAATGTTCTCTCCTCCACTCCCTTCCCTGTTATATATAGAGATCCTTTGACTTGGACCTGTTTCCTGGGAGTTGAAAGTAAAGAGTGATGTAAGGAAGAATCATTTGAGAAAAATGCTCTTCACTTTTTAAAATATAGTCATGTTAAAACACATTACTAGATACATCAGGGGACAAAGACCACTTTTATTCCATATCCTCCTCCTTCAAAAGAATGCATCAGCAGCTGTGTATCCCAATGTATTATACAGCACATTCAAAAGACAGCCTCTGGCCGGCGCCGCGGCTCACTAGGCTAATCCTCCGCCTTGCGGCGCTGGATTCTGTCCCGGTTGCCCCTCTTCCAGGCCAGCTCTCTGCTGTGGCCAGGGAGTGCAGTGGAGGATGGCCCAAGTGCTTGGGCCCTGCACCCCATGGGAGACCAGGATAAGTACCTGGCTCCTGCCATCGGATCAGCGTGGTGTGCTGGCCGCAGCGCGCCGGTCACGGCGGCCATTGGAGGGTGAACCAACGGCAAAGGAAGACCTTTCTCTCTGTCTCTCTCTCTCTCTCACTGTCCACTCTGCCTTTCAAAAAAAAAAAAAAAAAAAAGACAACCTCTACCCAATGGTAGCTGTTGATGTAGGAGAAAGTTGGTAAAATTTCTGCATGTACCTTTGGATAATGTTGGCCTAGATACCCAAAAAAGAAGATCAAGTCAGTGGCTACCATGTGTACAAGCTGTGTCAAGCAGAGGGCATGTAAGCAGCCAGATCAGAAATGCACATTGATTATGGGGAAGGCAGTTCATCTACCTTTTACATCTCATTTGTGTTCAACGGGAGAAGGGCTCTATTGATCAGGGCCATTTTAGAAGCTGAGGGCATTGAAATACTTGGCAGAACCAGTAGTGAGAGAGAGAGAAGGAAGACATCATAGGTTTAGGACCTAAAGTGGGAGAAACTTCGAAAGGTGCCACAATCTGCAGGAGGAAATACTGAGATTGTTATTTGAATTATCTCCTTAGAAAGGGAATGTGATATAGTGAAAAAAAAAAACATTTAGCTAGAAGTTCTAATTAACCAAATGATCTCTGTCCTCTGAATACTCATTTCAGAAGAAATAAGTGAATCAGGAATTTACTTCAGAAATTTAGTCAAAACTTTTTTTAGAGTATGTCTTGGAGGTCGTATATCCCATATCATATGTGATGGAACTAATACTCAGACAAGGAGATTCAGTAACAGCAGAGAGAAAATAATGCAATTTAGAGTAGCTTAAAAATTCCTAGATTAGGAATTTTAAAAACCCTTAATTTTGGTTCTGACTATAGTTTTTATCCTCTTTTCTAATTCTGACATTCTGTAATTGTGAATTACTTAAGCCTCACTTTCTACTTCTGTAAAATGATAATTTTGTCTTGTCTCATGGTGTTTTTGTGAGAATCAAATAAAACATGGCTTCTGAAAAGATCTTGAAAATTGAGAAGTCCCATGCAAATTTCAAAGCATTAACATTGTTTTAGCTATCAAGATTTTTTTCTTAGGCTCTCAGGTAACATTAAAGCTTATTCATGTTCATTGCTATGCTATAGTATTACACCTTTTGTATTGGGTATGATCTCTTCCCACTCCTGCAGCATACTCTTATAGTACTGTGTAACATTTGATGGGAGTTCAAAAGCACTATCAAACCAAATTGCACATGCATGCTGTTTTCCCATCTGGGTGGACAGGATATTTTTTACTCCACAGAATTCCTGGATAGAAGGCAGATTTGATGATTCATTCCATCTTGTCTCCCATAGGAGGAAGGCATTCCCTACCAGTCCCTAGTCTCAAAGTGGTGAACCCCTGCAACCAGCAGGCTTCCTGAACAAAAATCCATGGGTGACAGAAGATTCATTGACTTCCAATTCCAAGATTTAAATTCAAGCCTCAGACCCAGGTTGGGCAATGCTACTGCCAATAATACTTGCATGGTTGATGATTCCTTCAAGTATAATCTGAATGGTGCTGTCTACAGTGTTGTATTCATCCTGGGTCTGATTACCAACAGTGCCTCTCTGTTTGTCTTCTGCTTCCGCATGAAAATGAGAAGTGAGACTGCTATTTTCATCACAAATCTGGCCCTCTCTGATTTGCTCTTTGTCTGTACTCTACCTTTCAAAATATTTTACAACTTCAATCGCCACTGGCCTTTTGGTGACACCCTCTGCAAGATTTCTGGGACTGCATTTCTCACCAACATCTATGGGAGCATGCTATTCCTCACCTGTATTAGTGTGGATCGTTTCCTGGCCATTGTCTATCCCTTCCGATCTCGCACCATTAGGACCAGGCGGAATTCTGCCATTGTGTGTGCTGGAGTCTGGATCTTAGTCCTCAGTGGTGGTATTTCAGCCTCTTTGTTCTCTACGACTAATGTCAACAACGCAACCACCACCTGCTTTGAGGGATTCTCCAAACGTGTCTGGAAGACTTACCTGTCCAAGATCACCATATTTATTGAAGTTGTTGGGTTCATCATTCCTCTGATATTGAATGTCTCTTGCTCTTCTGTGGTGCTGAGAACTCTCCGCAAGCCTGCTACACTGTCTCAAATTGGGACTAATAAAAAAAAAGTGCTGAAGATGATCACGGTGCACATGGCAGTCTTTGTGGTATGCTTTGTACCTTACAACTCTGTTCTCTTCCTATATGCCCTGGTGCGCTCCCAGGCCATTACTAATTGCTTGTTGGAAAGATTTGCAAAGATCATGTACCCAATCACTTTGTGCCTTGCAACTCTGAACTGTTGCTTTGACCCTTTCATCTATTATTTCACCCTTGAGTCCTTTCAGAAATCCTTCTACATCAATACCCATATCAGGATGGAGTCACTGTTTAAGACTGAAACACCTCTGACCACAAAGCCTTCGCTTCCAGCTATTCAAGAGGAAGTGAGTGATCAAACAACAAATAATGGTGGTGAACTAATGCTAGAATCCACCTTCTAGGTACGAGGACTGTCTTCAGGTCCAGATACAGTTTCTCCTATGATTTTTCCTATGCTCTAGATAAGAGAAGAGATTTGAAGCTAGTGATTCTGAGAATAAATTAATGAACCAAATACATTTGTTTAAATGTTTATTGTACATATGCTGTTTTGTTCAGTAATTATAGGTCAAGTCTAATTACAGCAACCAAAACAGATGATCAAGCTCTTCTGCTGGATTGGAATTCCATTATTTCATTGGATCACATTATATAAATGGCCAGTGGCCTTGACTTTAGTGATAGGGAGATTACTTTAAATTTTTTAAAAAAATCTATTTTAATGATATTTGGTAATTGGGTTGGGCCTATAAGTATAGAACAAATTCAGGGATTATTTTTTTTAAAAAAAACTTTTGTGTTACTACTGATATATGCTAGTCTTTTTCCTTTTTTGTCATTGAATTTATTTTAGCACAAGAACATATTTTAACCTAACATTATTAATAAGAACTGTATTGAATTAAAGAGTTGGCAAAATTTGCTATGTGAATTTTGAAAAGAAATTTTGTTTGCATGAATACAGATGGGAAGAAACAGAAAAGTAACAGGATTTACATATTTACAATCATAAGCAGTGTCCTTTTATTAAAACTTTATTTTCTCCACTATGATAAGATTTTCATATGAAACTTCACAGTCAGAAAGCTGCTAAATACAAGTATGTTACCAGCAAATGCAGAATGGAAAAATCACATAAAATAACAAAATATCAATAAAAAACACTAACTTTTTCTTAATATTTCTTATTATATTTCTTTTGGGAAACTGTGTTCTACAAAATATTTATTTTCCATATGAAATTTTGGAGCACAAGGCAGCCAAAAAGCTGCTGAATTTGTGCTCAGGTCGGGAGCGAATTGAAAAAATAAAATAAAAAAATAATAACAAAAACACAATAAAACAAAAAATCTTAAACATATATTAATTATTTTTGGGGGGTAGATATCTGTAACTTTAAAGTATTTATTCTTATTAAATTTTAGAGTAGAGTGTAGCCAGAGTTGCTGAATTAATGATCAAATTGAGAGCAAATTGAAAAAAAAAATACAAAAACCAAACCAAATCACACAAAACAACAAAACAGTTGAAAAACACTACAAAACCAAAAAGAAAATCCAAGAAGCAGAAAAAGAAAAAAATGTAGCACATCACCATTGTATTTATTTTTTGAAGCTCTATACATTTAAAAATACTAAATCATTTACATGAAATTTTGGAACACAGTGCAGTCATAAATCTGCTAAATTTATACCCAGACCAGAAGTAAATCAGAAAAAAAACCTATAATGCACACCAAAGCTCCCTACAAAATAAGAACACAAAAATTTTAAACAAGAACACAAAATTTCTGTAAAACATGCAAAATACAGTAATTTGCATATGATGCTTTTGGTCAAAATACAGCTAAGATGCTGCTAAACTGGCACCTGAGTCAGGATCAAATAAAAATATGTTATCTCAAAAAATAATAGAATATTAAGTTGAAACAAATATTTAAAAAGTAATAAAAGAACAGAAAGTATTTTAAATTAAACACTGAAAAATTATTAAAATTATTATATAGGGACGAATTATAAATTTAAGAGTGTTAAGATTTGTTAATAAAACAAGAAATGATGTAGTTTGAAAAATACTACATTTGTGCTCAGGTCAGAAACAATGGCAATCAATAAAAACTCTCATATGCACACATCTGTAAAAACAATAGAAACCATAAAAAATTTTAAAAACACTGAATAAAGCAAAAAATCTTAAAATATGCATTATTCAGTTTTTAAAATATTTGGATGATATGACAATGATAAAATTCTAAGAATTTTAACTAAAACTTCTAGGAACAACAAAACTTTTTAAGTTGCTGAACTTGTGCCAGAGAGTGGTTGGAAAATTTTTGAAAAGTAAAAATCTAAAGTAATAGGCCAATTACTAAAATTCATAAGGCTTTGGTTTACTTTCTGATGATATGGAGATTTGAAAATGTTAAGATTTTTAACTTAAACATTTGTGAATATAATATCACTTTAAAAACTGCTGAATCTGTGCCTGGGTTAGGAAGTAATTGAAAAAAGAATGCTAAAACAATAGAACAATAGTAAAATTGAATTCTCAAAAGTGGCACTACTTTTTCCTCATGATTTAAAGTCCTAAAAATAATCATGCACTATATTGTCTTGTGAAGAAATGTTCTAAATGGAGTACATGAGGTATTCATTCAGTTAGATGAAATTAGGTTGTTAGATTAAGTTCAGTTTTTAGATTATATTCTGAAATGAAATTAGTAATTAAAGTTTGAATAATCTTTGTTTTCTTTGTTATACTTTCTTTTCTACTTTGTGTAAGTATAAATTATATGTGACCTTTTGTTTGTGCCCTTGTCTCCTAAAATTAAAAAAAAATTTAGGATAATGACACCAAACCATTTAATGGGATATGTTAACCAAGTTGACATAAAATATATCATAAAATCAGTTTCCTTATGTGTAATTTCCGTGTTTAGTTTTAATTTTCCATATTTCACTTTTTTCTAGTTAATTTCCATTTTATGGTTAATATAACTTGCTAATAATAAAACTTGTCATATGAACAATGTAAGCAACAAAATGTATAACTAAGTGTAAATTGACTATTTTACATTTAAAAGCAAAAGCAGTCATTCAGCTATAACTACAACTTGGATTTCAAATGCTTATTAAATATAATAAAATGTATTTGAATTACCTCACAGTTATACTATGGTCAATTGCTTTTTCAGTTTTCTTTATTTATGGGCACCCAAAGGCATCTCTCTGTTATCTTCCTTCTAGCCTTCAAGAAATTGCTTATTATAATATATTTGCTCTCAAATCAATTCTAAAACTTCATTTTTGAGGTTGACTGGATTGGTTGCAGGATTGGCAAATGAAAAATCCTGGGGTGACTTTTCATAGAACGAGATAAAATAACTATGTCCTTCAATGATTTTTCCAAATAAGCTTTGATTTATTTTTTTGTTTAGCCAAGCTGAGGTTTGAATTTGATTTCTAGGATTTGAAAAGATAATATAGGCCAATAACTGTGAGGCCTGGAGAAAATCGGGAAAAATATACCTGTTGACAATAATACAGTAAGAGCAGAGCTAGGTGGCAGACAGATCAATACCAAGTACAGGTGGGGGTCCCAGGGTGGCCACACAGGGCATTCCTGGTCATCATTTGCACGCTTCTAACTCTCAGGGAAAAAGTATTAACTTTTATGCCTTGATTTCCATTGTGATGACAGTAAATACTGCCTTTTCTGATATCATGGGTAGCTACAATTAAAATGAGAGGAAATTTACCATCTTCTTGGCCAGGTCCTCAGAAACAAGCATTTGTTTCACATCCCTAACTGCCCTCTTCTGCCTTCTATCTCCACCCCCAAATCCTCACATATTACATTTGATATAGTTTTCCGAGCTTCATGCTCTCTGCCTGTTTTTGCTGTTGTCTTTGAGCTCTCCAGAATCTCTCCCCACCCACTTTAGGCATACTGCTTCAGCATAAACCCAAAACAATGCATTCCCCTCTGGCAAGACAATGGCAAGTTGGACAGATCTCCACTAAGGTGAATTGATCATCCTCCTCCCCATCAACAACCATTTTTAATCTTCCAGTTAATGTTTGTAGCTTAGAAAAGGAGTTCAGTTAACTCAAACAATTACATGAAGCAGAATCAGGATGGGGAGAGATGACTGATCCGGTAATGGTAAATCATATTTTTGTAAGTTGTTTTTAAAAAAATTATGACTTAGAGAGAGAGGGAGGGAGAGGGGAAGAAAGGGAGAGGGAGAGAGAGAGAGAGACAGAGAAATGTCTCCCATCTGCTGGTTCACTCCCAATGTCTGCAGTGGTTGGGGATGGGCTAGGCTGAAGCCAGGAACCAGAATGCAATCTAGTTCTCCCACATGGGTGTCAGGGACTCAACTACTTGAGCCATCACCTGCTGCTTCCCATAGTGCACATTAGCAGGAAGCTGCAGTCAGAAGCCAGAGCTGGACATTGAACCCAGGTACTCCAATATGGGGATGCCTGCTCTGGTAGTTATCTTTTGAGCCTTAACCTCCTTTGCTTCATTGTAGGGCCCGCTTCCTTGTTCTGATTTCTTGAGATCATCTCTTATACCACTGAGTCCAAAACATACACCATGTTTCACCCGATAGCCCTCTTTCTCAAAACTTCGTGCTGTGACGACAAATGTGTTCTCACCTCCTGTACTCTTAAATTCTTTACCCCAAATCTCTCTTCATTCTGGTAGACTTGGTGAAATGATTCATAAAATATGGAATAGTTGGTTTTAACAAGGAAGCTTCTGAGTCAAAACCTCCCCTGTATTCAGACTTGAAGTGCCATGTACTGTGCAATTAAGAACCTGGGAATGAAGCTGTTTTCTCCCAAACATCCCAAGGGGTACTAAGTTCAGGAGTTTAGAAGAGTGGGTCCAGTGTGAAGTCTAAAATGTGGTAGTGAGAGAAGTCAGGCAGGCTGTCCAATTAGAGTGACGGACGTGGCCCTAGCTTTCTTTCCTGTTTGTCATGGAGTGGCTCCAACCTTGTAGATAAATAGCTGATTACACGCCTCCCACTGCAAGTCCAGGTTAAACTGTCTGCTCCTCAAGTGATAACTTTTCTCGCTCAAGCTGGGCCATGTTCCTCATTTGAGGTCCTGGAATTTCTGGACTACATCTAGTTCAAGGCAGCTTGAGGTTCTTGAGAAACAGGTTGGCTGGGGGAGAATTCCTGGGGATCCAGAATTTACTTATTCAACAAATGTGTTTAATACCAGTTATGTACAAGGCATTCTTCTAGGTGCTGTGGATACAGTGATGACAACAGACAAAAATTCTCAATTAACGTTTATGTTCTGGAGTCAGACAAAGCCAACAACAGACAAGCAAACAAATTAAAGAGTAATACAGCGGGTGGTAATAAGAACTGTAGCAAAAAATAGAGCAAAGTAAAAGGGACCATGTACAGTAAAACAAATTCCGTGCTCCATAGAGGAACTGGATTAAAATTTAAAGGCCATGGGCCGGCACCATGGCTCACTTGGTTAATCCTCTGCCTGCGGCGCTGGCATCCCATATGGGCACCGGGTTCTAGTCCCGGTTGCTCCTTTTCCAGTCCAGCTCTCTGCTGTGGCCCGGGAAGGCAGTGGAGGATGGCCCAGGTGCTTGGGCCCTGCACCCGCATGGGAGACCAGGAGGAAGCACCTGGTTCCTGGCTTCGGATTGGCGCAGCGCCGGCCGTAGTAGCCATTTGGGGGGTGAACCAACGGAAGGAAGACCTTTCTCTCTCTCTCTCTCTCTCTCTCTCTCTCTCTCACTGTCTAACTCTGCCTGTCAAGAAAAAAATTTAAAGGCCATATGTATTGATAAGATGAGAATGTCTGTCAATAAATAATAAACATGAAAAACAATTCTAAGCTTGTCAATGCGTGTAAGGAAGTGCAAAGAAATTCTGATTTTTGAATGTTTGCTTTAAAATGAGTTATGACGACCTGAATTGCTGTTGCCAAAAATCTATGCCTAGTCTATATACTGTTGGGTGTTTATGCTCAAGCCACAGCAACCCCCACCCCCAAATAATGAAGATCCAGGCCTAGGCACTTTCCAGTTAGCAATGCTGGTTTTGTCATGGCCTCAGCCTGTTCTTTCCTCTGCTTCCTCTATCCTGAAGCAGATTATTCTCTGTCCTAGGCGACATATTCTATCTCTTCCACCTCTGTCCTCCTCACTTTAAATACCCCTCCAGAGAAGGATCTAGTGGATTAACTCTGTGCAGTAATAAGGAAGTTTGAGCTAGAAGCCACATCTGATTTTCATATTTATGTCTCCTACTTACTGTGTAAAGTTGGGCAAGTCCCTTCCTCCTTTTGTGCCTGAGTTCCCTTATTAGTAAAATGAACAAGCTGCACTTAGACATCTCTGAGGTCTATAATAGATCTAAGGCTGGAAGTCTGAACTGGTTCATGCTGAGTCAGAACTAACAGTACTTAACAATGGTGCTAGGGATGAATGAGGGTATATACCAAGTGCCAGATACTGTGCTAACATTTTATTACGTCACAACAATTTTGGAAGGAGATATTTATGATTAGCCCCTACTACAGAGGAAGAAACTCAGGTTCAGTAAGCTGAAGGAACTTAAAGTAGTCATAGCGCTAACAAGGGGGAGGGTCTGATTTGATCTTGGTTCAGAATGTCACTAAAACTGTGTTCTTAACTAATTCTGTTACATACATCCAGGACTATGGGCTTTAAGCACAAGTGGTACATGGTTAATCATGGTGTTTTAGCCATTAAGGAGAAGAGGGAGTTTTTAAGTGATAAGGGATCTTTCCAAGGTTCTTTGAAAACATTCCACAAAAGTGGCTGCTGACTCCAACTTACACATGAGGCCATCAAGCTATCTTAGGTAAGGACCCAATGATCTGGCCCTTACTTACAACTCTTACAACTCTCTCCTTTACACTTAAACTCCATGCACACTTATCTTTCTGTTCCTTTATTAAAGGGAAACTTACTTTTGTTTTTGGTCCTTTTTCCTTTGCTCTTCAATTTACTTAGAATCCGTTTCCACCAGGTCTTCTTGTGGCTGGCTCCTTGTCATCATTCAAATTCAAATACCACCTTTCCAAAGAGAATTTCCTTGATCATAAAATCCACAGTAGATATCCAGTTACTCTTTCACATTACTCATTTTACTTTGTTTTATAGTATTCTCCAATTTTCTTCCTTTTAATTTATTTGTTCAGTGTCTGTCTACATCATTACCATCCCAAACCCCCTCCATGAGAGCAGCAATCATGTTTTCTTCTTCAGTATAATATTCTAATATACCATTTTCACATAAGTAATATTTGTTCCATGAATCAAATCAAAATATTTGAGAAGGGAAACCAGGTCTATATGACTTAAGAATGCTAGCTCTATACTCTACTGCCTTTGGATTTATCCCTTGAGCTTTCTCTTTCTGTCAGATCACAACATGCTTTCCAAATTTTTAAAAAAAAATTGTTTATTTGAAAGGCAGAGTTACAGAGAGAAGGAGAGAGAGGGAGGGAGAGAGAGAGAGAGAGAGAGAGAAAGAAAATCAAGAGATCTTCCATCCACTGGTTCACTCCCTGGATGGCTACAGCAGCCAGTGCTGGGCCAGGCCGCAGCCAGGGGCCAGGAGCTTCATCCTGGTCTCTCACGTGGTACAGGGGCCCAAGTACTTGGGCCAATCTTCTGCTGCTTTCCCAGGCTTATTAGCAGGGAGCTGGAATGAAAATGGAGCATGCAGGATTCGAACTAGTGTCCATATATGATGCCTGTGTCGAAGGTGGCAGCTTAACCCACTGTGCCACAATGCTAGCCCTGCAATTGTTTTATGTTGACATTCACCAGATTGTGAGCATTAAAGAGCAAAATGTTTTTTTTTTTTTATACAATTGGCAAAGTACATACCTAATTTCCTAGAGAGGCCTTTTTCATTACACTTTCATTTTTACTTTTGGTTATTTTTGCAAAATATAGAGGTTCCCACATATCCAAATGTTCAAGAAAAAGCTCAAGGAAAGAAGAGAAATCATGAGCGTATTTAAAACTCTTAAGCTATATTCAGGTTCCAAGTAAATAACTCCACCTTTCCTCTTGCAGTTTCCCCTCATTTAATTTGTTCTCTCTGGCACTGGCTGGCACTTCTGAGTTATACATTAGACTGCAGCCTTC